ACTACAAAAGAATGTGGCACCGAAGGCTTGCACATCTGTTCAGCAAGCCTTCAGTCTCACGTGGCACCGGCGTTTCCAGGCATGATCCTGTGGTCCCACGGTCCCACCTACCGTTGATTTGTTCAGAAAACTCAACGTGTGGGTCAGTGGACTCAGTGCCACAGTGCCGCCGAGTCGACACGAGGCTCGCAGGACGACTGTTGCTGATCTGCTGAAGAGGCCTCCACGTCACGTGCGCTTGTCACGACTCACACGTTGGCAGCACGGCCTTGCGCGGTGAGGTGAGCGCTGAGCATTAGTGTGTAACATGTGTTGCACCTTTTTTTTTCTTTTTTCTTTTTTCCATATCTTGTTAAAAAAAAAAAGAAAAGGAACAGAATGAGACCAATGCTGGTTTGAGAACAGTGCTGGTTTCTGTTTTTTTTTTTTTTTTTTTTTTTTTTTTTTCTGGGAATGACCCTTCGGAAAACATACTGGAATCATGGGCCTGGGCCTGGAGTCCTGGACCCACTAGCGAAGTATTCTACGACGTGTGACGCAATTTTATCAATTTTTTAGGTTTTTTGGAAAAGACGAAGTTATTTTTTATTTGCATGAATGGAATATTTTCTGATTTAAAAGGAATTGAAATGGCAAATAAAACGAAGAAGAACAGCTGTGCACCTGAATTCATGGGCTGGTAGAACTTTGTACGACCTCCTTCACGTGAGTCTTCAATGACTCTTCATAGTCATGTACCGTGGCAACAGAATGTGCCCACGAACACAGCCACAGGGATGAACTAGTAACGGGCATGGGGACACATTCATCACTATGTATCTCAGAACAGTGCTGGTTTCTGATTTTTCTTATTTTTATTTTTTTTCCTTTTTTTTTTTTGAATGACCCTTCGGAAAACATAGTGGAATCATGGGCCTGGGGTGAAGTCCCACCGCCTGGGGTGACCTCCTGTCCCCTCACCACGGGAAGTACCCTTTTTCCACGGAGACATTCACTCCGACTGTGCCAGACGTGTTTCATCACTATGTATCTCATGATTCTCATGATGCTTCTAAATATTTGATTTTCACATTCCAAGTTCGATTTCTCAGAGCCAAAAAAAAAAAAAAAGCGAAGTCTGGAAATCACCCCCCCTCTTTAGAGCCCATAAAATCGAGACTTCCCGCCCACACAAAGTCCCGAGCTGTCATGCCCAGTTTGGTTTTCTTTTTTTTTTTCTTTTTTTTTTTATATGCATCTCATTGGAAGACGGTGGGCATCGTTAGATTCGTCACAGTCCCCGCTGGGAAACTACCAGGCCGTCGAGATCGGATGTATTCGACGGCCGTACTGCGTCACTCGAGGCCACACGTGATCGAAATCCTGAACGGAGTGGTAGAATACTTCGCCAATGGGTCCAGGCCCCTGTGACGTGTGACACAGTTTTATGGTGTGACACAGTTTTACTGGACCCATTAGCGAACTATTCTGTGACGTGTGACACAGTTTTATGGTTTTTTGGAAAATACAGCGGGACACCGTAGGTGGTTTTTTTTTTTTTTTTTTTTCCCAAACAACGAAAAGCATGCGTTTCACCAGCAGCATGAGCCCTCAATGGTTCTGTACATGTGATCGGCCTACTGCTAGCCGCAGTGCCAAACCCCGCTCCTCGACCTTTTTTTCTTTTTTTTGGTGAAATGACAACAGCGCCATTCAAGAGAGAGAGCTACATTGGGTTATGCAGCAACTTATGCTGTTGGTGTTGCCCCATTGGGCTTGGACATTGACTAAAGATTCTTCTGTATCGTTCTCAAATGGATGGTTACTCGGTTCCATTGTGCTGTCTGCTCTTGCTTTGACTACTTAAACTTCAGTGTGATTTTGCTATCTGGATTTCTGTGCTTCTTCGTCCATATTCATGTTCCTTGCTTTTTTTTTTTTTTTTTTTTTTTTT